AAACATATTGTCCTGATTATCATGATCATCTAATGAAAGCAAAATCAACAAAAGATCATGGATTGGGTCGACAAAAATTTGTTTATGTGTGGAACGATATTGGATGCACGATCTACTCATCTTTTGCATCTAAACATAGTGTATAGATTATCATGATTATCTACTGAAAGAAAATCAACAAAAGATTATGGATTGGCTCAACAAAAATTTGTTTATCTGTGAGACAATATTGGATGCATGAACTTCTTATCTTTCGCATCCATCGACGATTGATTCAACTTGGCTTTTTTCTTCGACGAATCGCTAGCATTGACGATGATCAAGATTTGAGCTGAATCCTGACATCATTGAATTGCATTTCCGACACAACGTCCATCAAGCCAATCATAGATTTAGTACGCTTTGTGCATGTAATTACATGCGCTTCCAAACTGGCTGAATTGCACTGCAAGCACTGACCTCTAGGGTCTTTTCATTGCCTATATCAAACTTGTTAGAATCAAATAGATTCCATATAGGATGCAGAGGTTGGCCGTCGAGTGCATACATTAAATTGTTAAACATGATATGTAGCGAATGATGTGATCTAAAATCTGAAATTGTAATCAAAATCCAAAATTTCAAAATTACTATTGAAATCCACACGAAATTCTAATTGCTAGAGTTTACATTCTCACTGATACATGGCCGTTATTAATTACAAGTAAACATGAACTACTTTAGATCAACCCATCTGATAGAGTGTGAATTTTGCGCACGCTATCTTTCACAATGCTCTCTGTGGAATCCGTATCTTCGATCCGCTCAAAATTGCAATTGCTAGAGTTTGCAATCTCTCTAATGCATTTTCATTGTCAATTACAAGAAAAAATTGACTAATTTAGATTAAACCACATTAAGAGTGTGTGGATTTTGCCTGCACTACCTTTCAGAGTGTTTTTTATAACATCTGTACTTTTGAGCTTGTTCCTTCTGTCCCGTAGTGGTGCTGGCGAGGTTAGATACGTGTTGAGATTAGAGGATAAAGCATGAAAATATAGCATCTCGTCCGTTAGATCACTGTCCAGATTTAAAATGTGTATAATACTGAACAATATAGTATTAAACTCATCAAATTTTGAAATTGAGTATTATACCTAACTCTACTCATAACGCTACAAGTAATTTACAAACTAGTTTGAGAAGTGATTTGAATGATTGTGGCTATTTGGATTAGTAAGATCTGAATCCAAGACTATTTTCACATGATACTTCACAATATAGCAATCTTTAGTACATTTGAAGCAACTAAATCAAAGACAAACAATGTTTTTTTTTACCAATCATTCATCATTTGTGCATTTTGTTTGTGCGTTTGATGATCATTGTGCAATGAAATATAAATTCAATATTTTCATGGATTTAAAGTTAAGATTGATGAAATATAGATTATACCAAATATAGATGAAACAAATGTCTAAAGAGCAAATATTGGAGAAGCAAATTACACTTTGTAAGCTTTAAGTATTGACATCATTTTCAATTCATTATCAAATGTAATTATTAAAATTCTTACAAGGTATAAACAATAGATTGATTTACCCAATCAAAAAATCTTGAAATTAAAATTGAGAATGATGGTGACAATGCGTTGATCTTGGAAGAAAAAAAAATCTTGTTATAATATAACAATTCACACCTTTGTGAATACCTTTATGTGAATTATTGTTATAAAGCGTAACATGTAATTGTTGATTGATAATAATACATTGTAATAATAATAATAATAAAAATAAAAACTATCTTGTATTTCAAAAAATTGATCTTTGATTCATAGCAAGTGGATGTACAAGGTCAAATAAAATTCATTAGATGAATAAAAGAAATTTTAAAATCTAGTCGGTGATCAGAAATCACACAATTAAAAGCTCTAAACTACAAGAAAGCAGTTTTGTACTTAATAAAGTATCTGAAAATTAAAAATTGTGTGTGCATTTGCTGCAAATTCAATAAGTCTGGTTATGAATCAATCTTGATATAATTATATCTAATTTTATTGAATCATTAGATAAAAAAATTTACATTATAAAATTAATGAACTTACAATAAAGGTTAAAAAAATTTGATATGTAATTGTTGAAATCTATATATGTAGTGAAGCAAAATTTTAAGCAATAGAATGTAAAATTTGATGATTTTATGAAAGTAAAAAAAATTACATAGATTGTGTGTGATCCATGTGTATACATAAACATGATGAAATATAAGATTTTTATAACTCATTATTTTGGTAATTTAAGTGAATGATATGTTCATTTTGGCAAAGTATTAATTTGATATCAAAAAATTCTAAAATCAAATCAGAATTTGTATTTAACAAGTTCCAAATGAAGACGACAGTTCATAGATTTTAAAGAAATATTTTTATTCATGTCAAAGCAAGTGTATTCAATGCGTGCTTCCAAGTTTAATATGACAGGTTCTAAAAATAGTTTGCATTCTTTTGATATCACATGCTAATATTTTAAAGCAATAAATGAGTCTATTTGAAACAGAATGTTGTTTATCTTCATTGTTATAGCTAGATTGCACTCCATAATCCGATAAATTCAAATATGGTTAAATAAATAACGTATATCTACATCAGATATTGCTTTATCAATGATGCAACTTTTAATAAAAAAAACTAAGCTTGTCCATATTAAAAATAAACTGAATTGGTACTTTGCAAATTTTGCATGAGAAGCACGTGTTTGATTTCATATATATATATATATATATATATAAGTAAATAAAAATTATTATGATTTTGTACTACAATTTAGTTCTAGTTTAATAACTTTATCTTTGTCAAATTGTGTACAATGATAATTTAGGTTATGAAGATTATATTCTTCAAGACATGAATCAAGAGCATAATTTTAAAATTTTAAAATCTTTAATAGGTCTTGATTCTGGTTAGTTTATACTGCTTAGTTAAACTAGTTATTGTGTAACTATACATATAAATGACAAAAGATCTTAATGATGGATAGATTTTCTCTTGTGAGTAAAACTTTTATACTCCGTGAACATAGCTTGATTATGCTAAATCATGTATTTTTTTTGGTGGTGAAAGATCTAACATTTTACATAAAAAAAAACAATATTTATTAACTAGTTGAACTATGTGTTTTGCTCAATATTTGAAATTTTTGGTGAACTAATTACTTCAGTTGAATCATATTCTTATAAATGGATTACAACTTTCCTCGTATCACTAGAGCTTACGTAGAATCTTGCTCTAACAAGAATGTATTGATGTGAAACTTGACAAGATCATGCATTGCGGCTTTATAATGTGCATGAAGTATAATCTCTATATCAATGAGATTGTTCCTTGTCTTGATGATTCAACTAAATCTCTTTTAATGAAGTAAAAAGGTGGAAATATTTGAAAGGTCTATACCTTTCATATATTTACATGTTTATGTTGGTAATATGGATTGCAGAATATAGTTATACCTGATGCCATTAATAATATGATGTTTTTTATGGTTCAAGAGCGTGAATATTTAATTCAATTGAAAAGTATTTATGCAATGAAATTGACTAAAAAAAGGATAGTGATATATTAAGATATGAAAACGACATTACAGAATTTGTGATTATTGATATAAACTGTAACATGATTGTAGAGAAATCAATCCTCTTGAATTGGTGTGAATACATATATCTCTTTGAATTGGCGTAAGTGAAATGACAAAAGCCATAGTATACAGGTATAAGACATGCAAAGTTTTATTTCTTATCATCTGTAAAGTTTTACAAAAAACAAACTTTTGATGTCGACTTCAAATAATTGTTCATGAGAGTATGTACAAGAACCAACTGTGTTCTATGGCATGACAAATCTTGTTCTATGAACTATTTTTAATCGAAAAAAATTTATTTCCTTGTAGTTAACTCCAACTAATTATATCCATAAACAAAGAAGCTCTCTATTACCATTTTTTACTTGTAAACCCATTCACCTATGTAGCTTGTCTATGTGGGTTGGTTAATGACATAGTTTCTACTGTGATGTTTTTTATTTCACGGTAGCATCGTTGCCGCAAGTTGCATCGCTCTACTGCTGTATCCTATCTTCTTATCCTTTTCGCCATATTACTCCGTGCCCGGGGGCGAGTAGATTAGTCTCGTTATGAAAACACTCCAATAAACCCGAACCAAAGACGCTAATTTCCTGCCGAAAAGGGTGAGGATAAGCCAGGTCGGGAATGTGGTTGCAAGTAGGGTAGTCCGATAAAGAGACGCTTTTGGAACCATGGCACACGAAAAGTGACCTCTGGTAGGGCCGTGCCGTGAAGACAAAAGGTTCTCCTTAGGAAACGGATGAATCCTGTGAACTGATTGTCTGGACGATATTTGCCGAGGCTACGACAGAAGGCTAGAACCTGAATTTATCCAAGTCAGACAGAGTCTAGACAGGGCGACCGTCATCATTATAACCCGCGATATATTGAGCGAGCCATTAAACTGTTTTACGATACTGTCCCATGTGCGTGTCTGACCAAATGACATGTCTGGTCAATTTCGCGTTAATCTCGGGTTACGTACGTTGCATTGGATGCATGCCCAGTTGGCAGGTTTTGCGCAAGAGACTGATCTGCACTGAAGAAAGTGGAAGGCAAAAGAAGAGACTCCGTGAGAAAGATATAACCTGACGCTAATGGGAATGCGATTGGAGGCTGATTCTGTTTACGCAGTCCGATCAGTATAATGCTCACAGACTGTCAATTTCGATGAGTTGTAATGAACTTTCTCAGAGCATGAGATTTTCTGTGGCTGGAGCAGGCAGAATTTCTTCAGGCACGCGCTGGCTGCGAGCCTGGCCTTTCGATCAGGCGCCGAGCACACTCTCATCGCCGCCAAGCCCTCCTCCATTGGTTTCTACGTCGCTGAAGGCATCCGTTGTCCGGGGGCTGGCAACCTGGCAGTAGTATATAAAGTCCCTCTATTGCGGTACTCGGGGTAGATCATCGATACTTTGAAGTTCTTGCAGTCGTCAGAGGGAGTTGATGAATGGATGGTTCGGTCTTGGTCAAGGTCCGGTCTTGAGACTGCTGCTGTGAGAGGGAGCACGACGTCCAGCTGGGGAAGCGCTTAATTGGCATTCCGGCGTCAAATCGAACAGAGGGTGAGGTCGAACAAGCCAGAGTCCAAGGAATACGACGCCAAGATGGTGCAGGTTTTCAGTGTTCCTGCATTCTTCATCCTCTTTCGAGAAACGCTTGAAGCGTCCATCATCTTGTCAGTAATGCTCTCATTGCTGACCAAGATTGTGGAGGACAGGACCTTGAGGTGGAAAATGCAGAAGCAGGTCTGGGCTGGAGTTGCTGCGGGAGTTGCTCTGTCTTTGGTGGCTGCGGCTGTCTTTCTGTCACTTTATTATACGGTGGCGAAGGATGCCTGGGATAATTCTGAGCCCTTGTGGGAGGGAATTCTGGGCACGATAGCCGTGGTACTCATCACTCTTATGGCATTTTCCATGATTAGAATTGACACATGGAGAGCCAAGTGGGAGAAGAAGCTTACCAAGGTTACGGTAGATACTGTGGAAAAGCAGGCCAGAGGTGAGTTGCAGAGCAAAAGAAGCAAGTATGCACTCTTCCTGATTCCCTTCACAGTTGTCATTCGTGAAGGTGTGGAGGCAGTCATCTTCTTGGGAGGCATTGGCCTTGAAGGTTCGGCCACGGCTTATCCTCTTGCTGCTGTTGCTGGTGCGTGTTGTGGGGTCCTTGTGGGCTATTTCCTCTACAAGGGAGGGAATCACGTGGCATTTAAGTGGTTCTTGGGTGCTTCGACACTGCTTCTTCTGGTGATTGCGGCTGGACTTTTCTCTGGTTCGGTGCACGAGTTTGAAGAATACACCAAAAAGGAGGATTTTGTGTGGAAGCTGCATTGCTGTCACCAAGGCGACGATGGCATCTGGAAGTTGCTCAATGCTGTTGTCGGCTGGAGGGACGAGGCCACCGTCGGAACTCTGAGTTCGTACTTCGCGTACTGGGCCTTCGTCATTGTGGTTTTCCTCCTGCTCCGTGTGAAGTGGAGACGAGATGCCAAGAGGGATGCTATCCGTGATCGTGCAGCTCTCAGCAAGGATAGTGCTATATCTGAAGCTTAACTTAGCTTCGTAATTTGTTCAAGTCCCAGGCTGAACAAGCTTACTTCATTGTCTTGTGGTAGGGTGTTGCCATCTTGAACCTAAGACAGTACTGAGTAGGATATCTCCCTTCTTCAAACAAATTGTCAATTGTACAGAAGCCTTTTCAGCAAGCTGATAGCGCTCACAGAACCTTACACATGTAATACTTACAGGGGCGTGTCAATCTGATGTAGAGAAATATGTAGACAGTTGATGACGACTAACACAATCTTCGCTGTGCTAGCTCTGTTTACCGCATGGATATTTCGTTCGGCTCGCTCAGCATATTTCGTTCTTTTAAAGATTGAAGCTTGGAGTCTCTTTCCGAGAGCGTCCGTAAAGGTCATAGACTCACCGTATTTTCCTGAACATCATTCAAGAAGCCTTTGCTTCAGCAAAGGCGATAGTTGCGACTAGCGTGCCCATGCACTCTTGTGTGAGGACACGAAATCTGATACTATACAGAGTACTCTATCACTTATGAGCGATTATGTACTCTTCCTTTCCGTTACAACAAAGTTCGTTTTCTCGAGTATGCCTTGAGGCCGTACCTGCACAACCTATCTCCATGAGATTTGCTCTTGGAGCGTTACACGCAGAGATAGGATACACATCGATAAAACAAGAAAAAGTAGAGAGACGGATTTTTCTTCCGAATGTTCAAACTCAGTGTAGAAGAAGAAATGGAAAGGTACAACAAGTGATAATATCCAAGCTGATGATATTTAACTTCTATCGATGAATGAGATGGTGGTTTCCCCTCATGCATTTTCCATCATAAATCATTTTTTTTCTTATCATATACGGGTTTTCCAAGTATAACCAAATTACCAGCACAATAAGCAGCAACCGATATTTATGTTCATTCAGCGAGGTACAAAATAATCACTTTTTGGTCCTTGTGGTATCAAGCAGACTGACTCGGAATCGTTCGTCTTCATTGAATCTCTCTAGTCCTGATAGTACACACTTTTCTTGTCAGTTGGACCAGCTATTGACCAAAACCCGCACAGCTTGCCATCAATCTTTCTAAAGTGCAGAAGAAGCGTCTAAACCGATCAGTACAGTTTCGTCCTGTGGGACATGCTCTAACGCGGTTGTGTCCCTCGATATCGATCCCACAGCTAGTGATTTGTTACCTCTCAAGGGACAACATACCAAATGTAACTAAATAAATCATCTATATTTAAGGATTCGAAAGGAATTTTACCAATAGGAGTCATAATCTCATAGGTCCAATGCTTGGATGAGGTCCCAAAAACTATGAAAATCATTGAAAATTACTACATCTGTTATCATTTTCTAAAATTTTATGTGTATTCTTGCTACGAATGGAGGATACTTGGGGCATGTGATAATTTGGTATAAAAACCTGTGTTTGTGTCCTACATGTCAACCATTTGTTGAATTACCCCGCTTCGAGGGCTTGGATTGAGTCGACCCATGGACGTCCAGTATACGCATCTATGCTTAAAGCTTTATCCGGACCACAACAAGTACTTAACGAACTCCTTCCTTGACAGAAAGACACCAATATTATAAATGTTGTTGCTCCGAACGAAAAATACTTCAGGCACATCCATGTGACCTAAATTCGCACTGGACACAAACAATCTTTCACTATCGGTTAGTGCCTGTCTGTGTGCCTTAATCCGGTAGTATCTCTTAACTCTGAAGTTGCTCTGCATGAATTTGATCATATTACATTAGGCATCACAGCTGAGGAAGTCGAGAGTACATGGACCGTCCAAACCGAAGCATGGGATTTGTCCGATGCCTCAGATCCTTCACCTTTCATATACGCATTGACAGAGTCGCAGATACATGCACACAGCACACTGGCCGCTTCCGTTTCCAATGCTGAGCTGGCTTTGACTCTGGGTTTCAGATTCGAAAGATTTGAAATGTGGAGACGGACACAAGGTTCAAAATCCTTTGACGGGAACGTTCTGGTTAGAAACTTCGATCGTCAAAAAAGATAAAAGAACGTTATTTCAAGAATTTAGGAACAAGGTGCAGACGGTCCGCGTCTTCGCGTGAGTGACTACAGAAACGTAGTCAACAGAGTCACTGCGGCTGCTGTACATCTCAACCCTCAGCGTTTCTTGCAATTTTTGCTATGATCCCCCGACAAGGAGAAACAGTAACCAGGAGTATTGAGACGGAAGACTTTTATGAGGCATTTGCTAAATCGGCCAGATTTTGTATCATCTACATCAGGTTTATACACTATCACACAATTCAAGAAAATTGACACTCTGTTTTTTTTTACAATTTCGATTCTGTTGATAGCCAAGTTTAATTTATGAGAGTTTAACAACAGGACTTTGGTAATTTTTTCTACAGATTTTTAGTGACTTCATTCGAATTTAACAAATTGGTTGGGTTTTATTTCTTATTTTCCAACTCTTTTACCATTGAAAACCTTCTGGAGATCTGATTAAAATGTTATGATTTTATTTCTTATTTTCTATAGAAAGATCAATGTATTTATCATTACAAATGTGAAGAACTGGGATGTCAAGATGAGAGAGAAGAGCTAAATATGAGATTAACAAAAAAATTTGATCTATTTAATTCTAAATCTTAATAAGTTGGCATGTGATTTCACTAATGAGATAACTGAAATTTTCATTTACATTAATTTCACATGATCATTGAGGTAGATGCAAGTTATTCATGAGGAGATGATAGCTAGATTTAGAAATTTTATGTTAAATTTAAGAATTTTTACTAAAAAAGTATATATTAACCATATATGTTAGGATTCAGATAAGCCCCCAAAACACTTCGGATGACTATTGAGTATGAATGTATAGAAGATTTTGGCAAATTGAAAAGTACAAACAAAATTTGAAGATTGCATCTCATCATACAAGATTTTTGTTGATATTTACGAAGTTATGTAAGATGATTGCATCAATAGCAAGATAATAATAAGTTTTTTAAAATTATGTATGTCATTTTCATTTTAACCTTAACAATAATAATATGTACATTAGACCAATAGATGTTTACAATTTATTGTTGAATGAATGATATTATTGTAAAATAATAAAATTGAATTGAAAAATGCTTAATCTACTCATGACTGTCACAAGAATGTATGAATAATTTCATAATTCATATCTACATAAGCTCAATAAATCGAATTTGTTAATTTCATAATACATAATTCTGACTAGATTTCATTATTTGGTGTAATTATTTGAGATGCATCGACGATAATTTGCTTTTCCAATTATTAGTCTTGAGTAATTTTCTCCATTTGTATTTGTATTGGAGATTTGTTTTGTCTCACATCTTCAAATCCAAAATGATTAATTTGGAATTCATCTGTGAGTGAAAATTTGTACTTGTGGTTATGAAAAGTCTGACATATCATTTTTTCCATGATTTATTATAATCAAAAGATACATTCTTTCTCAATATAAGCTTATAGGCTATTGGATTTCATGGCTACTCAAAATTGAGAAATTCATCTATTGTATCTAAATAAAAATAAAATCTACAATACTTCACATTACTAGCATATGAATATCATGTTTTGTTTTTCTATGTAGTATTCAACTTGTTACCATTTTTTCTTGGTTATAATAAGTACAACTAAAAAGTCTCAAATAACTCATTTAATCATTTTTTATAACTTAATTAACATGGTTTTTAAATGAAAATAGTTTAATTGTTCAAGAACAAAAAAATTATCACCTTTTATTTGATATTGACATTTTTGGTACAAGATTCATATGATAAATCAAATTAGCTAAACGTATTGCACAATTTCTTCAATATTGTAAAGTTAAATCTTGTCTCTTGGAAACAACAATCGATTGAGAAGTTTAAATCATGATGAATGTTAAATGATTTTCTCCTTGAAATAATTTCTAAACTCCTTTAAAATATAATTCTTGTCATTATTTGTTCATAACTATTTCATTTTGTGTCGAGAGTAAACAAAAAAGTCCAATTGGATATCTGGACTTTTTAAAAATTGAAAGGTTATAAAAACCTTAATTTTTGTATATATTTTTTGTATTTTTGAAATATATTTACACGTCATTATTTATAAACTCAAATAACTATTTGAAACTATGAAATCCAATATCAATTTTTTTTTATTCATAACACAATAATGACAAAAATAGAATTCAACTTTGCAGGGAAACAAGTAATTATTGCTGCGGAGTGTAAAATATCTAATACCAATCTGTCATACGATAGAATGCTATACTTGAGTCATTTTAATTAAAACTTAGTAAAGTTAATTTGATAAAAAATAGTATTGACATCTTAAGTAATATTTTTTATGCTCGTGTTTACTTAAAATAAACATATCACACCTTGAGCTCTGCTTTATGTAATTGTAGTCAAGCTTTGAGTTTGAACTCTGACAAAGTTATGAAAGCTAGATCAAGAGTTTCACTTGAGACATGGGTTGGGGAGAATTTAGATTAAAGTTGACATCTGTTCTTTAAATATCTCACCACCAATCATTTGTGAGCTAGTATTTAGGATATCACATACTTGAAAGTTCGTTCATACAATACAGTGAAAAGTATAAAATCTGATAATCTACTTTAGAAGTCCAAATTAATCAATATTAAAAGGCTGAAAATATGAGATAATTTTTTAATAATTACATTCCAAATTGTAGACAGTAAATTTCCGCAATGCTGTCTTGAAAGCTCTGACTAAGACATGACAAGTTTCCAAAAAATTCAATAAAATTCTTAGTTTCACCAACATTTTCTAGGTAAAATTGTCACTTTTTTTATGAAGATATAAATGCTAATGATTCAAAATTAGTATTCGTATGGAAAACAGTTTCCAATTGTCATCCTATCTATTGTATAAAGTAAAGCAAGTGTGACATGAATATGTATGACTCTTATAACTGATATCATTTACTTTTTCAGAAATCAATGTTGAGAATAATGGAAGACTCATGTAGTACGTTATTTTAAGTCACATTACTTCTCAGATTTTTTGAATTCCATAAAAGCTAACCAATTCATTTAGTTGTACATATGAATCAAAATAAGAAAATCATATTTGACTTCTAGGCTTGCAATTGCAAAACCAACTTCTATACATGAAATACATATTGCAAAAATCTCTCTTCAAGACATCTTTTCAATCAAAGTCATCTTGACTAAATACAACTTATGCACAGTTGCATAGATCATTTGTTGAGGCATAAAGATTCAGTTGAAAGCAAACCGAAAGCGTTTACAAAAGAATTTAAAATTATGAATATATATATATATATATATATTAATATGAACTGTAAAAAAAATGTGCAGTTTTGTCACATTTTTTTTACCTCAAGCTTTAGTTCATAAGATTGTGTGCTATAGAAGCAAAGTTAGTTTAATTTTACATTTTCTTTGAATCTTAACACAATCAGGTCTTCATTGGTTACATGGTATACTTGGGGAAGTTTGACTGTACGGGTCTTCCGTGGTCGGCATAGCAAAAGCATCAGCATCTTTCGATACGTCTTGTTGTCATCGAGGAGCTGGTTGAACGTGATGTTAGCCTGCTGATTTCCGATATCTTCTACTACGTCGTAGTGGGCGTGTCGGCATGACACCGACGGCTTACGCTGCTCCGAGGATGCAGACGTCCGAGCGACAGAGGGCGTCGGTATGTTCCGTCCTTCCATCTCCGTTCGGGTACGGATTGCTTCCTTCAACAGTTCAGCGACTTCGTCCTTGAT